TCATTCAGCACAACCCACAGCATTAACAACATTTAAGGTTTGTGTGTATGTAATCAATGAATTAAATGTTTGTCTTCCTGCACATGCAGCACAACTTTCACTCCTTCAGATAAACTCATGGTCATCCAGAAAACATTTGAGGAGTTGACCCAGGAAGTGAAACCTATGCTGGATGGTGATTTCCTGTGGTGCATGGATGACTTGCTCCCCCTCTTCCTCTACGTGGTTCTCAGAGCGAGGTGTGTAATGTCACATACAAACCCAGTCACACACTTTGTTTGTATATGTAGAAGTTGCTGTGTAATTGGCTGGTGGTTTTACTATCAGGCTACATCCATACTAATATGTTTTAATTTAAAACATTGCTGTTGTGTCATTCAGTTAAAAGTTTTTTTTTTCTTGGAATAGAAAGTGTTCCATTAAAAAGCTCAAAACTAGATTCATCCCAGTGAAGCTGTTTTGCACAACGTGTGTCAAATGTGCTGGTGAATTACAGTGACACATGTAATGGTTTAAACAAAGTGGTGAGCAGAGCCGAGGCTGCAGACTGGTTGTTCATAGTTATTGTCTGCTCTGTTCTCCAGGATCAGGAATTTAGGAGCTGAGGTCAATCTGATAGAAGATCTGATGGATCCCAACGTTCAGCATGGAGAGATGGGTCTTATGTTCACAACACTGAAGGTGACAACGCACACACACACACACACACACACATACTTCTCATTACACTGCGTTTTACATAAATTATCACATTTCCTGAATCTAGCATATGGGTATTCACCAAAAAGTCAGATTGTTATATTTGAGTTCAGAACTTAAAACAAAAAAAATGCTAACCTAGAAATGTTGGAGGATGTGTTTTTTTTAGTTGTTCCAATTTCTTCTCCATCGCTATTTTTTGAAATGGCTTATGTCATTAAAACAACCTCTTACATGTTGTCTGCAGGATTTTAAACATGTCCACTTGTCTCTTCTGCAGGCCTGCTATATCCAGATCCAACATGAGTCCACTTTGTAGGAGCAGGTAGGACGACTCGCCAGAGTAGAAACTGCAGTGATGACTCAGTGCTGCATTCACAGGAGCTTCCAGAACAAACCAGTAAAACCAGCACTGTTTCACTGGTGGCCACTAGGAGGCTGCAACTGGGCTGCACAGACGTAGCAGAGGGAGGGGAGAGTGTTACACCAGGAAAATATGTCTGACAACTCAGTCACTGTTCATCCTTTTGATACATTGCACACAGTGTTCTTTCTCTGCTATCAAGGACAGTGTACATAAAAAAGTAATGCACCGCCCTCTTGTGGACATGTTAGAGACCTGCATTATTGTCTTCTATAACATGGCTGTAAGTGGCTACTGTAGAACTTCAGCAACACTTTAAGTCATACACACCAGCTGAGCTTATATAATTTTTTTTATTTTACAATATTTTCTAAAAGTGTAATTTATTTGACCAGACTTGAATTTGTCTGTGAGGTGTTGCATGTCAAGTTTGTCCTGTGAATGTGTCATGTTTCCAGGCAAAGGGAACTAACTTCTTTATTCTGAAACATGACCACATCTTAAAGGGAAAATCACAGGTTAATAACTAAGAATAATTGAATAATGCTTCTAATGGCTCAGCATTAGTGAGAGCAAATTAACAGTGCATTTACCATTGTAAATACACTGCCGGGTCCAAATTTAATTAAGTTTACCTATAGGTACCTATTTAAACTGTGTGTAGTGGTTGATTGAGTGTGGCAACTACTGTTTTATTAAAAATCAGCAGTTGAGAACTGACAGAAGCTTTTTAGACTGTCGGCTTCTGAGGATTTTTGAAACCGGAAATATTATTTTGCACTTCAGTATGTTTTTAGCATTTTTGGTGGCATGAGTGCTGCATTTTGATTGCTATTCACTGATATCAGAGCATCCACATGAGACATGGATTGAGTTAAATATATGAGAGTTCAACTCACCTCCCAGGAAGAGCTCAAACCTTAGGAAAGTTTGTCTTTTCTAATTAAATTAACTTTACGAATCGGCTTAGTTATTCTCTCTGTGTGAACACTTCATGACTCAGTTGTGTTTTTAGATGTTTTCGTCCTCATTACTCAAGTAAAATCACTCGGTCAGAAAACTCTGAGTAATAGAAAGGGAAAAAATCTCTTGTATCAGTATTTTTGGGCAAAGTTTATTACATGCTAATAATAGATCAAAGATCCTCCTTTTGTTACATTGCCTCTCGCTTCCTTGAGAATGTTGTGTACAGTTGATATATATTTTTTCAGTGCAGGAGAGGCAGTTCACACTAAACAGACCTCCAGATTTTCTGGGACTGTTTAAATTATTTTGAAGTCATACTACAGATCTGACCATGTACTCCTGCATGTTGAGACCAACAATGAAGCTCTTTGAATCAGGTGTGGGGTTCAGATATTCATCACTAATATACAACTGACTGGTAGGACAGTAACATGTCACTACTGTGGGAAATTATCTTAATATTAATATAAGGGGAAACCTCAACTGTTATTTCAAGTTTTTTTGCTGCATGGTGTGTGTGTGTGTGTGTTTGTGTGTGTGTGTGTG